TTGTATTGTTTGTTCTTCTGAATTTTTTGCCCTGTAGGCTGAGGCAGCCATGGCCATTTCGTTAGTTTTTCGTAATAATTAATAATCGGTTAACCCATCTATATTCCATTCAGTTATTTCTGTTCCATTAAAGGCAGATGGACTTTCTAAGTTCCATTCTTCAAATTGGATATCGGGCAATGTAGGCCTCCTATAATAATTTCTGGTTGTTGGCATATTATGAGTGGTTGGACTAAAATTAAATTTGTTTCCAATTCTATTTATCTTATTTTCATAATCTGAGTTTTCTAGGTCTCCTAAGTCTTCTAGATCTCCTATTTCTTCTTTAGGAATATCTATTACGTTTAATTTTCTTACATTTAGTTGTTCTAATTTTAAATTTATTTCTTCTAATATTCGGTCTGATTGATTTCCTATTTTAAATTCTTTATATTCTTTATCAGATAATCTTATTGGGTTTATTAATGATTTTTGTAAATCGGTTATTCCTAACGGATTTTTATTATTTGGGGATCTTTCTTCTTCAATAGTTTTCTGAGCTATCTGATGTAATATTTGATTTGTAAGATTTAATTGGCTATGTAAATTTTGAATATCGTTTATATTAGGGGTTTCGTTGCTATTTCTTTTTTCTCCTATCATTTTAAAAGGTGATGCAATTACTTCTTTATTTTCAATGTTAGGAAATCTTACTTCTTCTAAAGGAGGAATTTTACTAATAACTTCTTTATTTTTTGTTTTCCAGATTTTTTCAGCATTTTGTAATACATTAATTTGTAGAGTGGCTAAACAATTTTCTTCAAACCATTTAAAGTAGGGTATATTTTCTTGGATTAAATTTAAATACTCATAATATTTTTCGCGGTATTCTTTTAATTTGTTTTGAGTAAAGGTTTTAAAGAACCATTCTCTTTTTTCTTTATTATTTTCTTCTAAAAATTCTTGTCTTAATAAGTCTTTGTTTATTTCAAATTTTTTGATTACATTTATCATACTATCATCTTGTTGTATTTCAGATGCAGATGGAGAATTATGGGTTTCATATTCGTATTCTGGCATGGGTATGGTTGGGTCATCTTTTATACCTATTAATTTTAAACTTCTATGATGTATTAGGTTGGATTGATCTATTGATCTTCTAGCTGTTACAAAAGTATTTTTACTGGTTGTTCCTCTTTGTGAATGTGTTCTTCTAATTGGGGCAAATGATACTTCTACTGTTCCTGATTTATATTCTGTTATATTTTCAATTTCTACTGGTTCTGGGGGTTCTGGTTCTAATAAATCTTCTAATCTCCAACTAAGTCCGCTTGATATTTCAGTGTGTTTTAAAGTTTTTGGTATTACCGCATTAACCTTTTCTGGATTTACTAATAGCATAGTTGTTTCATCTTTGGGAGACATTAGTAAGGCTCCTGGTGCTAATTGTGTTTTCATTATTTTATAATATATTCTATATATTATTGTTATTGGTATTGATTTTGGATTTCATACGTTTTCTGGGATTTTAATGTCTAATATTATGTTATTTTCTGTATTATGCAGACTTTTAAGGGCTATTGAATAATTTGGATAATTATTTATGTAGACGGGTCCGTTATGCAAATTAGTTTCGAACATGGCTAATATTTGATTTTCAAGTTTTACTAATCTGTTATCTCTTAAAGCAACAAACATTGGTGAATCTATGCCTTTTCTAAAGAGAGGTTTTATTGCTATCTCGATCTGATCCTATATGCAAATATCGATATTCTTTTATATGTTCTGCTATTAAAGATTTAGTTATTAATGGTATTTTTTCATGGTTTGATAAGAGTTTTATTTCTTTATCTACGGTTTTTACTATGTATTCTGATTTAAACATATCTTTCCAGTTAGTTTTATAGATATTTGATATTTCTAATTTAGGAATGGTCCATTTATTCAACTGATTTTCTATTTCTGGGATTATTAATTCATGATGCACTAAGTTCATATTATTGGTTTCTTCTTCTGTATTCCTATTTTCTTCTAACTTTTCTTTTCCTTTAGACAAAAGTTTTATTAATTTTGCCATCCTAAGGCCAAGGTCTAAGATGTAACGGGAACACCACAGGATTTACTGCCACTCTCTGGACTTATAACCTAAACCGGCTTACCAACGCTCATCTACCCTCAAAGACTCTTAGGCAAGGTTCGATTATAAAAACTTTTTTCTAATGAAAAAGTTAAGTTTTCAGAAAATAAAAATTCAGATAGAATAATCAGTTTTATGAACAAAGTTCGTGGCTTTGTTAATTCACAATAAATTATCAGGAATTGAACCTGACATAGATTATCTGGGATGGCCTATTATGCATCAAGCAACCCAATCGGGAAGACTAAAGCACCCAGTTTCCAAGCCGATAAACTTTTATTTGAACAAACAAACAATTTTTTGATGTGGAGGATCGGCCTAAACCGCAACCACAGTGCATACTTATTTCAAACAAAAACAGATATTATCAGCACAAATTTGTTTTCTTTGGCTCTGATACCATTTCTGGCACCAGCGCATAGGCGGAAGTAATAAAAGAAGAGAAGAAGTATTATTTATGAGAATTATGCTTACTATATTCAATATTCGAAGAGAAGAGAAGGGAAGGCTGGAAACTTAGGCTATGAAGAAGTTGGTTGAGGAAGGTAGAGTTTAAACCTAATACTTCCGAACAAATAGTAAGATACCACTCAGGAATATGGATTAAACCCAAAGAAACTATAGCACCATTAAAAAGGAAGTTTTAAGTATAGTATTAAATATACAAAAATTTCAACATGATTTGATAAACAAAAAATTTCTATTAAGAATTGATTGTAGATCAGCAAAAGAAGTTTTAGAAAAAGATGTAAAGAATATAGTTTCAAAACAAATATTTGCCCGATGGCAAAGTTTATTATCTTACTTTGAATTTAATATTGAATTCATAAAATATATATATATATATATATATATATATATATATATATATATATATATATATATATATATATATATATACTTTTGTTAGGTGGGTTGTATTTTGGTAGGAGTAGGTATGAACGGATGAAGAGGAAGACTAGTGGTTTTGTGCATTTGGTTCAAGGTGGGTGAGACAAACTTGGAATATGACTTATATTGGTAATTTTTTTAGGGATATATTTTTCTTCGTACAATTTGGCTAACAAGCACGAATCATAAACATAGGGTCTTGGGCGATAACTAATCTGCGTATTTTGAACTTAAGGCCACTGATAAAACAGTCTAACAAAACATCTGGAAAGTAAACTCACGATAATATTCTTGAATTGACCCTTGTTGGTTAAGCTTAAACAAAGTAGAATGCGGACATTCAGATGGGTTAAATTTTAGTTATATTGCTATGAAAAATCTAACCATGAATGAAATTGATTATTCTTATAAAGCATTTAAAACCAAGGTATCACATCTATGTTCATGTACACTACAACATTAATTAGGTGTTGTGCATTAGGGGTATTATAATAAATACAAAATTGCTCAACCTAAAAAATCATTCTAGTGCATTGGATCTATTAAATTGAGGCAAGTCCAGCATGACGTTACGAACCTGGAATGCTTACTTAGGCATTAATTCCAGCTTCCATGTTTTCGAAGCAGATTCCATCCTGTCGATTAGTTGCTTGACATCGGTTGATAAATTATTGACATCTGAAGTCAATTCCTTCAAACAAGTGTTTTCTGCCATGAATTTCAATGAAATCACCAAATGCAATGATGAATAGTATGTAGGAAGTAATGAACCCTGAAGGCAGTTTAATGAAGTATAATGCAGAGGAAGTTTCTCTATGATATTATTTATGCAAAGGAAAGTTACTATCACAGTAACAAATACAGAAAAGAGAAATATCAGAGTGAAGAATCTGCTACAGACAAATCATATCTCTCAGTGTTCTCCCCTATGATCTATATATCCAATTGAGGCCCCACGTAATGAATCCTACAAATGTGAATTCGTTACTTTCTCTTTTACTCATCTTGTGCTCCTTCTGGATTTTTCTGTTTGTTGTCCACAAAGTTCTCAAAAAATTATAATATCATTGATTTAAAAGAAGAAAGAAAAAATAAATATTCATCTAAATATCATAAACCAAAATATAAATTAACAATCATGAAACAAAAATAATAAAAACCAATAGAATTAAAGAACAACAAATAATAATTAATTAAAAAATACGAATTTATTTTTATTTCTTCAATTTTTAGTCATTTTGTATTTTAATTTTGAAAAGATTTTACAATCTGTAGACACCGCGACATATATCTTTGAAAGCATCCTTCTTTTACTTTATTTGTATGAATCATTGGGAGCAAACGAATAAAAGACAATAGCAATACTGAAAAGAAGGGGAAAAAAGTTAAGGGTAATGATTTAAATACATTATCAGAAACATTGAATCGAGCGAAAGCAGAATATTTTACGAAAGTGACAAGTAATTGGGCCTTCCAACGAGGGAGAATCAAAGCATGACGGACGCGCAGACACTGAGACATAAACGAGTGGTGTAAACATCATCAAGGTAAAGAAAAAGACGAGCGACAAAAACAAAGTGGGGAAAAACTAACCATTTTGGGATTTAATAATATGGTAGTATACATATGCACTTACATCATCACTTCCTCCATTACGAAAGGTATGTGTAAATTAATAAGAAACTCAAATGAAGAAAGCAAAACCATGTTTTGGCTCTGATTGTTATTGGGTGTAATAAATTTTGTACCAATAATGGTTACACATCTCACGTGGAATGAAGATAAATTTTGAAAGTAAATTTTATAGGTTAAGTTGAATCCAAACTCATATTCACCATATGAATGATGATTGTTATTCACCATATGAGGTCACGTTATGGTTTGCTATATAAGAGAACTCTTGTATTACCGAGAGAGTATCATATTATGAAGCTTTCACAGATTGTGTTGTGAGCAGGTAAACATCATATTCTGTAGTGTATAGACTATTTTCATGGCAAAAGCAACTTACATTGCTATTGTTTCAAGTCCTGGTTACACCCACCTGGTCCCAATAATTGAGTTCAGCAAGCGACTCATCAACCATCGCCCAAATTTTCATGTCACATGCATCGTTCCCTCACTTGGGCCACCCCCAGAATCCTCCAAAGCTTACCTTCAAACTCTTCCTTCAAACATTGACACCATCTTGCTTCCTCCTGTTAACAAAGATCAGTTACCCCAGGGTGTGCACCCAGTATTCCTTATTCAAGTCACTACTATGCGTTCTCTGCCATCAATACATGAGGTCCTGAAATCATTGTGCTCCAAAGCCCCTTTAACAGCGTTGGTGGTTGATGTTTTTGCGTATAAGGCTGCGGAGTTTGCAAAGGAGTTCAATGCCCTGTCCTATTTTTACTTCCCTAGTTCAGCTATGACATTGTCACTGCTTATACACGGGCCAAATCTTGATAAGGAAGTTTCAGGTGAATTCAAGGATTTAACTGAACCTATAAAGTTTCCAGGTTGTGTACCATTCATGGGGGTTGATCTTCCGGATCCAGCCCAAAATCGATCAAGTGAAATTTACAAACATTTTCTTGAACGTGCTAAAGCGATTGGTACAGCTGATGGGATCGTGATCAACACGTTCTTAGAAATGGAACCAGGTGCTATAAGAGCTTTGGAGGAGTTTGGAAATGGGAAGATCAGATTGTACCCTGTGGGTCCTATTACACAGAAAGGGTCAAGGAATGAGGTTGATGAGTCTGATAAGTGTTTAAGGTGGTTGGACAAGCAGCCACCTTGTTCAGTGTTGTATGTTTCTTTTGGAAGTGGTGGAACACTCTCTCAACAACAAATCAATGAGCTAGCTTGGGGTTTGGAATTGAGTGGTCAAAGGTTCTTGTGGGTTTTGAGAGCACCAAACAATTCTGCAAGCGCTGCATATCTTCAGGCTGCAAAGGAGGACCCTTTGCAATTCTTACCAAGCAGGTTTTTGGAAAGGACAAAGGAGAAAGGTTTGGTTGTGCCTTCATGGGCACCTCAGGTTCAGATCCTTAGTCATAATTCAGTTGGTGGGTTCTTAACCCATTGTGGTTGGAACTCGACTTTGGAGAGTGTCCAAGAGGGAGTGCCTCTAATAACATGGCCACTCTTTGCAGAGCAGAGGATGAATGCAGTGATGTTAACCGATGGTCTTAATGTGGCATTGAGGCCAAAGTTTAACGAGGATGGCATAGCGGAGAAGGAGGAAATTGCAAAGGTGATAAAGTGTTTGATGGAAGAAGAAGAAGGTGCAGGAATGCGTGAAAGGATGAGGAATTTAAAATATTGTGCTGCTAATGCACTCAAGGATGGTTCTTCAACACGTACCCTGTCTCAGTTGGCTAACCATTGGGAAAGTTTAAGTGAGATTTAAGAAAGTAGTTTGAGTTTGATATTTCTAGTGAGTTTTTTTTTCTTTCTTTACTTGTATACACTTAGTATTTTTTAATAATAAAAAACAAAATAGTAAGAAATGATAAAATTAATAATTGATGATAAAAATAGTTACTAAGATATTTTTTATTTGATAAAAATAGAAGTGATGGCTACCAGAGAGATCAAACAATGCTAGGAAAGTACAACGACTGCCTAGCACAAAAAAACTTAGAAGGCAGTATGGTTGCAAGAGAAGAAAAATGCTCAGAGAGCACAACAACTACCTAAGAGCATAAATGTTGTAGCTGATATATTTACCTTAAACTCAACCATCTTTCCATTAAGTATGATACTCTAAATCGTATTGATCACAGAAGAATCATCAACTCTTACTAATGAATATTTTCGAGAAGCTGTGAAAGAAATTCTCCTTGGAAGTTCTCTTGTACCGATTAGTCAAACTAATTCGTTTTCCTACCTCCCTCTTTTCCTTCTTCATGGTCTTCTCAGCAATTAGACCAACCAACTACTTGATATAATTGAATATTTGACTTAGACGTCAACTTGCATGCCTAAAATATGAAACGTAAAACAAAATTCAACTAACATTTTTTATCCACTTTGTAGAATCCTGTTGTCAGATAAAGGAAAACAAATCAACATACCTGATCTCATACCAACTGCATAGCTGCCCAGCCAACTAAATTTCAAAAAAGGAAAAAACTTCTTACACATTATTCTTACTCTTTTTATTCCATAAAACCTTGATCATAACTGAAAAAGGTGTTCAGAAGTGTTTTCCGTTTGTGACGGGACAATACTCGACCGGATATATACGAAGGAGATGCAAAATAATTATATAAAAGAATATATCTTCCCTTTGAACCCAAAACCGTCAGTAAAAGGAAGACAAACAGAACTAACGTGGTGACAGATAATGATATAGGAGAAGTTGTTTCATTTGCTGCCTAAGCAAAAAACATATTCTCAGCTATTCATTGTTTGGTATCTCATGTTTTGTGCATCTGTGGGGGCTTCAATTTTTTTCTTTTGACCGGTCAAAACACAGACCAAGACCATGTTTTGTATCTTCAAAATACAACTCTGTATTCTGTGGTTGAAGTCAAGCCATTATCCAACAATAGTTGTTTGACACGTTTTGATGTATTATATATGTTCTAAATTCTAAGATTCATAGTTGCACCAGTGACGCATCAATAATATATGAGGAAAGTGACCGATAGCACATCCATGGAATGCAAGTAACTGAGGAAGATTAAAATGCTGATTATTTTAATATACAATATACAGTATGCCAACTTAGACTACAATTCATCATTCTCAAATTTCAAGTCAAGATTTGACCGCCTTACATCATAAGATACAAACAAATAGGGAAAGTATTTTTAATTTCTATTTTATGTCACTGTCAAACCATTTTATACGACTTTTAAATTAATTGTTACAGGAGTAAACAAAGTTATCTATATTTGAAGGTAAGATTATATATATCCCAAACCATAGGTCTGAATGAGCAATAGAGATTCAAATGGCCAAAACAACTCACATAGCAGTAATTTCAATCCCTGCATTCAGTCACCAAGTTTCCATTGTTGAGTTCTGCAAGAGACTCGTTCATCTCCATCACCACTTCCACGTGACCTGCATCTTCCCCACCATAGGTGCACCCCTCCCCGCCACACTCACCCTCCTCGAATCTCTTCCTTCCAACATCAACTACACTTTCCTCCCTCCTGTTAACAAACAAGACCTGCCCCAAGATGTTCCCTCAGCAGTACAAATCCAACTCGCAGTGTCTCTGTCCATGCCATCCTTCCAACACGCACTGGAGTTTCTCCTTTCAACCACATCTCTGGAAGCTTTGATTGCAGATCCTTTCGCAAACGAGGCGCTGGAAATAGCAAAGGAGTTCAACATCTTGTCTTACATATACTTCCCTCCTTCTGCCATGACACTCTCAGTGTTCCTCCATTTGCCTGCTTTACACCAGCAAATTTCATGTGAATACAGGGATCACAAAGAAGCCATCAAAATTCCAGGGTGTGTGCCAGTTCAAGGCCGCGACTTATCCGAGCATTTCCAAGACCGATCTAGTCTCGATTATAAGTTAATTCTGGAGCGCTGCAAGAGACTCTCTCTTGCTCACGGTTTTTTAGTCAACAGCTTCTCCAAAATTGAAGAAGATTCGGAGAGAGCCTTGCAGGTGCATAGCAGAGTCAACAACAGCAGCAACAATTCTCGTGTTTATCTGATTGGACCAATTATACATACAGGGTCGAGTAATGAACCAAAGGGCTCAGAGTGTCTGAGGTGGTTGGAGAGTCAGAAGGCTAATTCAGTTTTGTACGTGTCGTTTGGAAGTGGAGGTACACTCTCTCAGCAACAGCTCAATGAGTTAGCCTTTGGGTTAGAGTTGAGTGGTGAGAAATTCTTGTGGGCAGTGAGAGCACCTAGTGATTCAGCAGATGGTGCTTACGTTGTTGCTTCTAGTGATGACCCTTTACAGTTTTTACCAAATGGGTTCTTGGAGAGAACCAAAGGTCGTGGCTTTGTTGTTCCTTCTTGGGCCCCACAGACCCAAATCCTTGGTCACGTTTCAACCGGTGGGTTTTTGACTCATTGTGGGTGGAATTCAGCACTCGAGAGTATTGTGTTGGGAGTGCCAATGGTGACTTGGCCATTATTTGCTGAACAGAGACTGAATGCGGTTTTGTTAGCTGAGGGTTTGAAAGTGGCGTTAAGGCCAAAATTTAATGAGAATGGCATAGCGGAGAGGGAGGAAATTGCTAAGGTGGTAAAGGGTCTGATGGTGGGTGAAGAAGGAGAGATGATTCGTGGAAGAATTGAAAAGCTCAGAGATGCAGCTGCAGAAGCGTTAGAAGAAGATGGGTCCTCCACAAGGGCACTTTACCAATTTGGGACTCAGATGGAGAGCTTTGTGGGACATTCATAGTGTAAACCGAAGTTCTTCGCCATCTAAAGTCCCTGGAAAATGGCAATAAGTTGCAAAAACAGAGCATGCAAAAAAGTCTTCTGGGTTTGCTGCAAGTTGGTCAAGGGCCTTTTTTGGTTGCTTTTTTGCTAGGATTTAAAAATTTGAAACCAATTACTTTCCCATAGTAGTAATCATACAAGGAACCCAATGGTACTATTCATGATCTATAGTTCTTGTACAAAATCCTTCAAAAAAAATGTTTTTTTTTTTTCTTTCTGAATTTGGTGCAAGTTGAACGGCGGGGAGGGGTGGGTTTGGGCCCCCAATCCCCAACTTTTTTTAATATATTAAAATATTCTTATGTTGAATTTTAATTAATAAAAATTTAAAATAATTGATTAATTTCACTTAAACATTTAAACAGTATTTTGTTTTGAAATTTTAATCGATTATATCATTTCTTTTATTAGTTAAAATATTATTAGTGATGCATTTAGAAAATGTAGTTTGTTGTTTTAATTTATTAAAATATTTTGTTATCAGTTAAAATATTTTGTAATTTAGTGAAATTCATTATTTCATTACTTTAATAGATTATTTGGAGGTGTTATTAGTTAAAAACAACCATTAGAATATGAAAAATTTTTGTCTCACTATTTTAATCAATTAAATTTTCTTTTCATTAGTTAAAATATCTTTTTATATTTAAAACAATTTTTGCTTACTTAATTTTAATCAATTAAGATTTTACCTCTTTGATTTAATCCATTAAAATTATAAAATAATCGGTTAATCGATTATTTTAGTGAAAATAATTTATTTAAATACATTATTTAATCGATTAAATTTGACAACTTTTCTTATATAAATAGTTTTGATCTTTCTTTTTAAAGATATAATTTGTAAAAAAAATTGAGCAATCTTTTGAGATATTTCTAAGAGTTTTACATGCATTTTTTCACTTTGGGTTAATTCAAAACATTCTTGAGACATTTCTTTTATTTTATTGGAGAGATTACTTAGAGATTGTGATTTTGTACTTAGGGTGTTCTTTTGTATAATTTTTCCATGTAATTTCTATCCTTGTATTCTTTTCTTCTAGTGTATTTGTTGTACCTAGTGTTAAGTATTAGTTGGTGGCGACTAGGGATGGCAAAATGGGTCAGCCGCTCGTTTTGGCCGCCCGCCTTTGGCCCGTCAAAGCGGGCGGTGAGGCTGGCCCGATATAGTCATGACGAGCTGTAGACCTTGGCTGCCCCGCCAAGGGGCGGGATGATGCAGTCTGGCGGTCGCCCGCCATAATTTAGAAAAAAATAATTTATTTTTTAAAATAATATTTTTAATAAATTTAATAATAAGATTATTATTTGTTTGTCAATAATTTAATATATATATATATATATATATATATATATATATATTATTTCAATTTAATAATATAAATCAATATATTATTTTAAGAAATTATAATTTAGAACAATAATAAAATTTACATAATAATAAATAATAACAAATATATATATATATATATATATAAAACGTTAAAACTTATAAAATTTATATTTTTTATATTAAAAAATTCAAATACCTATATCTTTTTTATTTGATAAAACTTCACATTATTCTTGGTTGAGTAATTCTTACACCTTTAATTCAAGTCATAAGAATAAAAATAATCAGTGTTTAAGATGAAGAAGGAGAACAGGAGAGAAGGTTGTGTTTCGATAAGGAAAACATTTTATGTGAGAGTGAAACTTTTTTAATTCTCTTTTTAAAATTTTTAACTTTATATATTATCTTTATAATTAATTTTTATTACAATAAAAAATTATTTTTTTATTAATTAGGCGGGCCGCGGGCCGGCCCGCCCAGTCCCGCGGGTTGGCGGGCTTGGTGGGGCGGGCCAAAGCGGGCTGGTGGGCTGAAAACACCAACCCGCCCCGCCATATTATGGCGGGCTGACGGGCCGGCCCGCCGGGCCTAACCCGTTTTGCCATCCCTAGTGGCGACCTGGTGTAGGTTGTTGGTTGATTTAAGAGTGGTTATTGAGTGTTCAAGAAGCTCTTAGGAAGATAGGGTGTGTCTACTGGTTTGTAATTATAATTGAATATTGATTTAGTAGAATTCAACTGGTTGTGCTAAAAATTATATGTAATTTAGGTGGTTGGGCTAACCAATATAAATTTGTGTATCTTCTATCTCTTAATTATTGTCTTTACAATCTGTTCTTATTTTATTAATTAATTAATTCTTGAAAAGATTGATAATGTTCTTTGAGAATTAGTTTAATTCAAAAAGATTTTGGAAAAAATTTATAAGATCACTCTACTCCTCCTTCTTGATTTTGACCATTGTTCTTAACAAATTATTTATATAAAAAAATGTGAACTAAAATAATCACCCTGTTTCTCACTTTCCATCTAACCTAACCCTTAACCCAAATCACCCTCATTTCTCTAATTGTAAATCACTTCTATTTGGTCATGCATTCGTGTAATTTGAATTCTCTCACCTTTCACCAATTGTTTCTTACAAATTCTTATCCTAACCCGAAATTAATGTTACTCTCTCTCTCTCTCTCTCTTTTATTGGTTATCCCTGATTCAGATTCATGTCTTCTCTTGTTCTGTGCTCCAAAACACAATGTTTCATCTAAATTTAGGTGAGTGTTTGTTCATGTATCCCACTTTTGTTTGCAAAATAATATTTTTCTCTTTCATATCTTTTTTAGGTTCTAGAAGGTTTTGCAGATTTTACCTTTTGTTCAAGGTTTTAAATTTTTTTCTTGTTGTTAATGTTATTATTAAAAGAGGATCTTGAAATTTTTTATGAATCCATTCGCTTAGGGTCATGGTGGCCTAATTATATAATTTTGTGTTATGTGTATCCCTTGATTTTTTTTCTCTAAATTTTTATTGTTTTATGTATTCTTGCTTCAATTTGGCAATGATTTTTGTTCATTGTGCTCCCTATTAGTGTGAATTAAGTTTTAGGCTTATGTGTTTGTTCATTGTGAATTTAGTCTATGTTACTACAAAAGCATTTTAAATTACTATGTTGTGTTAATGCTAAAATTGATGCAAGATGTGCATGTTCTTTGGATCTATATTGGACAAGAGAAGAAAAATATCAATACATTGAAACGAAGATAATATCAAATCACTATAGAAAAACATTGAGAAACATTATAGATAATGTAAGAATAGAATAGTTTTTAGTGATAAGAAATGTTATTTAACTTTTAGTCATGTCACATGTAATTAGACTATTTGATTTTTTATTTTGACTAACCTTTGTTTTCTCTTTAACTTATCTATTGAATAATAGATACTGATTTGAAAAGCTTTTGTGTATGAGATATTCTATCTTACAATAGATATAATTTGTCATGGTTAAATTGAAAGAACTCAACATGATAGGTGAAACAAAACTAAAGGTTTATATAACATTTGAATAGTTAAAAATCCTAAGTTCAGTTATAAGATAGTTAAATCTATCTCTAGCCAATGGTTTAGTGAATTACTCAGCTAATTGATTAACTATATCAATGAATAATATTTCACAATCTCCTTTTAGTATGTGATCCTTAACAAAGTGGTGTTTAATCTCAATATGTTTGGTATAGGAATCCTAAATAAGACTTTTAGTTAAGTTTATTGCAGGAATTTTATCACATATGAGAGGTACCTTGTCTAATTGTAATCCAAAATCAAGTAATTCTTTTTTTTAGTCAAAGAATTTGACGACAACAGCTTCTAACAACAATATATTTAGTCTTAGCTATTGAAAGGGCAACACATGCTTGTTTCTTATTATGTTAGGAAATCAAACTGCTTCCACGAATGACAAGTGTCACTTATGTCTTTTAGTGGTATATCTTGATCATTAATTTTGGGGGGAGGGGTCCTAAAAATTATATCATTAATAAATAACTAATAAATATAAAAAGGTAAAAGAAGATGAAAAAGAGAGAGGTCAAAATTGTAAATATAAATATAAGTATATTTAATAATCATTAAGTTTTGGGAACCAAATCACACATTTTGTCCAAGATGAAGGCTTAATTCAATGGATCTAAGCAATCTAGCTGAAGCCTAGTCTAGAAAGGAAAATTACATAAAGAAATACAAAACAAAGTATATGATTGTGGATTGATGCTTGGACATGCTTCTTCTAATACTTCTAGAAGAAATATGACCTTGATCAATTATTCTTGACCTTTTTTATCCTTCATCAAGAATGCATTTATGTCTGTATGTGAGAGAATTGTGTGAGAAAGAGAAATTTCGTGTGTGAGAGAACTTTGTGAGATAGTGTTATACATAATGTTTGTGAAGTTGATATTAAATTTTTTCTTATTTTAATGGAATTTTATATTCTTCTCATGTAGGTAATTAAAAATTTTAAAAAATATATTAAAATTTTAATTGCTTTCTAATTTTTTTATCCAAATATCTAAAGTATTTCAAAAAAAATTAAACAATTACTTATAGAGTTACTCATAGTTAAACATATAAATAACGTTGAGTTTGTCCACAATTACTTATTAAATTAAGATCTCACAAATTGATTTTGCTAGATTTTAGTGCAGATTTGGTTTCATGGATTGTACTTGGTTCACTTAAGGAAACCAGTATCATGATATATGAGTGTAGAATCCCTTAATTCTTGAATATTTTGTGCATGATGCAATTTGAAATTGAGATCAATAACAATTTAGAAATGTACTTGTTCTAATACACTCATAAGCTCCACATTATTTACTAGTCGAGACTAAAATATTATTTTATAGAAAGTAATACAAAAAATAATAAATAATGGTCAAGTCATACTTAATTACTAAATTCGTGGTCAAGCCACCGCTTAATCACTCAAAAAAAATAAGTTTACTTATGAAAACTTTGATGATTAAATTAATACTTAAATATGAAAAGATATGATAATAATTTAGTATATATTTAATTGAATCAAATCATCCAAAATATATAGATTTCTTATCAATAATTTAAGATAATAAATAGTAATTGATTAATACTAATAATTATATTTTCAATACAATATTAAATAATTAAAAATATTTATTATATGTTATTTGCATAATTTACATTTAAGAGGAATAATTTAAAGAAATATTTTTATTTAAATAAATATTTCCATTAGAATAATCAAGGTAATAGATACGAAAATATAAACCATAACATACTCCTAAAGTCGCAACTGCCTTATGCATGAAGTGAATTGAGTTTGAGGTCGGTTATAGCAAAATTTGAAAGGGTACAAAACCATGAAGTTGTCCATGTCTTTCTTACGTCTTAAGTGGCTTGATTATGTGGTTAACGTGTCTTGTCTGAGTATATAGGAAACTTCTGAAATTGTGAGTTAGATTTAGAAAAGTAATTTCATCCAATAAAATATCATATCTTCAAGAATATTTTGAATATGCTCGGGAATTTGACATGACATAAGATTTTGACAGCGGTAGTTCTAATTTCTGTGTTTGAATCTACATTATGTCTATGTCGCGTGTCTATGATAAATCTTCCAAGCCACGGAATCACCACCAACCAAAACAATGCAAGAAGAAAACAAATTGGAAAAGCACTCAGCACAACCACGTAATCCAATTTCAGAAAAAACAAAAAAAAACTAGTTTCCTAATTCCCATTCGAATTTTCCCATTGACTAGTCAACTGGGATAGCGTTTGTGTTGAAGAACCATCTTTCAGTGCATTAGCTGCAAAATCCTTTAAAGTCCTCATTCTTTGACGCATTCCTTTACCTACTTCGCCTTCCATTAAGCACTTTATCACCTTTGCAATTTCCTCCTTCTCCACAATGCCATCCTCGTTAAATCTTGGCCTCAGTGCCACTTTTAGTCCATCCGCTAACATCACTGCGTTCATTCTCTGCTCTGCAAAGAGTGGCCAAGTTATCAGAGGCACTCCCTCTTGCACACTCTCCAAAGTCGAGTTCCAACCACAATGGGTTAGGAACCCACCAACTGAATTGTGACCGAGGACCTGAACCTGAGGTGCCCATGAAGGCACAACTAAACCTTTCTCCTTTGTCCTTTCCAAAAACCCGCTTGGTAAGAATTGCAAAGGGTCCTCCTTTTCAGCCTCAAGGTAAGCAGCGCTTGCTGAATTGTTTGGTGCTCTCAAAACCCACAAGAACCTTTGACCACTCAATTCCAAACCCCAAGCTAACTCATTGATTTGGTGTTGAGAGAGTGTTCCACCACTTCCAAAAGAAACATACAACACTGAACAAGGTGGCTGCTTGTCCAACCATCTTAAACACTCATCATCCTCATCGCCTGACCCTTTCTGTGTAATGGGCCCCACAGGGTAAAATTTGATCTTCCCATTTCCCAACTCTCCCAATGCTCTTATAGCACCTGATTCCATTTCTAAGAAGGTGTTCATAATAATCCCATCAGCTATAGCCATTGCTTTGGCACGTTCAAGAAAACTCATGTAAGCTTCACTTGATCGATTTTGGGTGGGAGCAGGAAGATCAACCCCCAAGAGAGGTACACAACCTGGTAACTTTATAGGTTCTGCTAGGTCCTTATACTCACCGGAAACTTCCTCATCAAGTTTTGGCATGTGTAAACACAATGACAATACCATAGCTGAACCAGGACAGTAAAAGTAGGACAAGGAGTTGAACTCCTTGGCAAATTCCAAGACTTGGAATGCAAAAACATCAACGACCAATGCAGTTAAACGGACTTTAGAGGACAGGGATTTCAGCACCTCGTGTATTGCTGGCAGAGAAAGAGTAATGGTTTGTTGAATAAGGAGTCCAACGTATAATCCTTGGGGAAATTGTTCTTTGCTAATTGGTGGGAGAAAGATGGAGTGAATGTTCGAAGGAAGAGTTTTAAGGTAGGCTTTGGAGGATTCTGGGGGTGACCCAAGTGAGGGAACGATGCAGGTGACATGAAAATTGGGGTGAAGTTTGACAAGTCGCTTAGTGAACTCAATAATAGGGACCAGGTGGCTGAAACCAGGACTTGAAACAACGGCTATGTGAATTGTTTTTGCCATGGAGTCTAAGTTTTGCTTGCTATCAAATGTGGTAAAAGCTAAAAATGATGTTGTCTCTGGGACCGTAAGAGCTCAAGTCACGTACATGTAAATATATACCAAACCATCGGCTTTTTGTTATCCAATTTTGATACGTAACTGGAATTACGAAGCAAACGTTGTTTGGTCTGGCTTTCTTTATGGAAATATTAGTTACGCATATCTTTCAAGGTGGAGAATCTGATGTAAGCGCATATGCAATAAATCGCCTTTATATTATTATTACTATTATCCATTCTTAATTTCTCACTTTATGTTCCTACCTCGTACTTTTCTCTAGCTTCATGAGGTTGACTGTAACATGATGGTCGTGGACATGACTTTTGTCCACCATATGACTGCTTATATTTTTACAATAAAAATATCCATTTAATAATTTATTTTTAGATTTTTATATTATTATATTATTATTTACTTATCTTGTTTTATTCTTTCTTCATCAATTAACACAGAATAATATTTTAGGGTTGTTTATCATATATTTGTAAAAATTGGTTGTAAAAAAATCTTTTTACAGTCGCTCGATATATGCATGTAGCAAAATTATAAGTTCTTAAATTTATAATTAAAGGAAAAGTGTATTTGTGTGTGTATTTTTTTATTTTTAAAAAAATTATCTTTTGATCCTTATAATTTTTAAATTAACCAATTCCGTTATCTAATTTAAAAAAATTACGTAATTGATTTTTTTTATACTTAAATTTACTTTTCACTTTAGCAAATATGATAAAAATGAATAATGTGTTTTCAATCATTCTTTATACACTACAAGAAAAATTCATTTTAGCGACCAAAACAATCGGTCGCTAATGTCAAAAAATCGGTCGCTAATCAGTTAGCGACCGAAATTAGCGATCGAAAGGCGTCGTTACAAAAAGCCAAGTCGCTAATGTGTTAGCGACCGATTTTCATTTCGGTCGCAAAATAGCGATCGAAATTAATATATCAAATTGGTCGCTAAAGTGGTGACAAAGTAAAAAAATAGCGACCGATTTAAATCGGTCGCTAAATCAATAACAAAGTAAAAAAATAACGATCGATTTAAATCGGTTGCTAAATCAATAACAAAGTTAAAAAAATAGCGATCGATTTGAATCGGTCGCTAAATTAATAACAAAGTTAATTATTTTTATTTATTTACATTTTTAATTATATCAAGTTCATTAGACAACTTTTTTTCTCCAATTGGACACAATTGTATTACATAATGAATGCTTAGTAGTTAGTAGTTAAGATGCATTCTCATCCATGAAATGTGGACCAATTTGTCATAAACTTAAGATTTGAGAAACATTTGCAAATTGAAACTGTCAACTAACAAGTGATGTAAAATATTTTTCATTGTCAAGTACTACTAAATGAAACTGTTACACTTAAACACTGTTATACACATAATTGCCTTTTTTTATATGGTAACTCTAGCACAACCTTAAGAGGGTGTCAATATTGTTTTCTGTGGACTTAAGATTCTATTTCAATTGTAGAAAATGCATATATACCAAGAAAGGGTGAGACACAATAAAGGTGAACAAAAAAAAAATAGTATCATAGTAATGATACATTTCCCTTCATAAAACTGAATTGTAACGTCGCTTCTTTTGTGGTGTTGAATGTGCCTGTGCTTTGATCCCATATGTCTTCAATTGAAAATTTTCAAAAGCCTCTGAAATTGTCTGCACCTATAGGATTGCACAAAGCAATATATTAGTGAATCCAACCCGAATGGGTAAAGGAAAGAAGTTTAAACATGCACAGGATAACTAACCAGTTCAACCTTTTTGGAGTACACCTTAACTATCATATCTTGGTAAGATATAGGTAGCAAGTGGCTTACACGGTCATCGGGTATTGTAAATTTCTCATTGCTTTCATAATCCCGAATGCATTATTGAAACTAGGTAACTCAATACAACTAGCATAATTTAATTCCAAACTAAGCACCAATAATCGAGCAAAACTAAACCACTTTAAATATTTCAATAATTTTGAACAATTGCAGCCCAAGTATCCCAACGAAGTAATATAAAACAGTTTAAACTAAAACTTATTAGCAAGGAAACTGTCAAACTGCATAAGGTAAGAGGTTTAATAGTGCAAAAAAAGATATAATCCACTAATACAATATAGACACAGTGCAAAACCAATTAATATATAAGAAGATTAAAGAAATATCTTGATGAAAGATAGTTAGGTAGGTTTGGCGATGTACCTTGAAAAAGTGGATGCTGCCACGAAACATGCACCATAAGAGAGAAAAATAATGCATTAGGATAACATTATAGTAAGTTAAAACAAACTAAATGTCTATGTTCAGCAAGCATGATTATTCTTCATTGAATACCTTTCAAGAGGATTATGATTTCCACTAGTCAAATCAATTTTGACGTTACAAACAACTACATCCTCCTCTTTCGGAGTAACTCCACCACTCTTCCGCAGATACATATATAAAACAAAATGGAATTCCTCCTTGAAGAGAAAGAATCAAAATTATATGCAATTTGCAAATGAGAAGGTTTAATCGGATTGAAGACTCGAGAGCAAACAATATCTTGAGGGGTGACCTTCTTAAAATTGTCTAGCATACCCTTGGGTACTGGGTACTCATTACAAAACTGCAAAACAAATTTCTTCCTCGAGTTCAGCAAGACTATATAATTATAATTATAATTTAATAAATACACACAAACATTTTAGGCCAATGTAATGTAAATTTAGAAACATCCACACAATAGTTAGCATTGAATTTCGATAAACGACTTGAGAAGATACGATGACGTAATAGGTAATTGCAGCAGGTAATTGACAACAATCAAAGAAAACCAACAGGTTAAAAACATGCCTGGTACAAATTCCTCCTTCGAATGCGCAGGATGAACTCCCTGGCCTCCTTTAGTTCTTGACTTGTACTTGTCTCAATAGTTTTAACTATTGTGTCATCCAGATTGCATTTTTAAAGTAAATTACGTTTTATGATTCAAAAGAGCATTGTAAAAATGCTTTTAATTTTGTAAGAAGCCCCGATAACCTTCCAAGTACTCGGAAGGATTATTTATATGAAATTTCGAAATAACTATTAGCATGAACAAGTGCATCGACCATCATAAGCTCCATTGCCTGGAAACATCAAGATGGGATTAGAAACTGTAAAAACCAAGAATGGTAAGTTCATGGGTATTAAGTAGACAGGTAAGGAAAAAAAAGGCAGGTATCTACATCTACCTAAAATTCAATAATCTTCTTAACAAAATGAACATACTTCATACCTTCACTTTTGGATGTGTATAAACTGTTCTATACAGATAAGCACGGGTGGCAAACATTTTGTGGATGGTAAGGTCTAGTAAATTACGCAGCCAACATGAAAACTACATATTCAGGAAAAAAAACTAAACGGAAATAACAGTATAAGACCCAGAATCAAACCGGAACCCGATTCAACCAATAGAGGTAGTCAGTTTGACAATTCCTACGAAAATAAACCAGACCCACACACAATTCATCCTTAACCAAGGAGAACAATCCACAGTAAAAAGGCATAAAAGAAATAGAACATAGCAGCAAAATGTGAACCGAAGGACTTAACCCGCGACCCCTCTGACTCACCTCTAGTGCGCGGCTGGTTCAATAGTGGAGGTTAGGTTGAGATTTAGGGATGGCCACGATGGTGGCCAGGGAGGCGGTGGTGATGACTGGGGTTTGGTGGAGGTTGGATTAGGAGGAGATACTGGCCGTGGGATTTGCAAGGTTAAGAGGAATGGGTGAGTGAGGCGCGAGAGTTAGGGTTATTTGGGGATAAGTGGCGCGATTGGGATGTATACGAAAATGAAAAATGTGGTTGTATATGATAGCGGTTCCACTGGAACCGCTCTTAAAGTTAACATCTAATAGCGGTTAAACCTTAACCGCTATTATATATTTTCAAATATGATTGATCATTTGAAAATGTAATCGATCATAATCAAAAAATGTGGTTGTATATGATAGCGGTTCCACTTGAACCGCTCTTAAAAGTGAACATCTAATAGCGGTTAAACCTTAACCGCTATCTAACTATATTTTATTTATTTATTGATACATCTTTTCATCAGATATCGCTCGAGCGAGACCAGTGTCGCTCAAGCGAAATACAACCCGAGAATACCAATTTTGTGCAGGTGGCGTCGCTCGAGCGATAATATTGTCGCTTGAGCGAATGTTGACCTGCGTAACGGTCGATCAAAGTTAGCCGGATAATGTAACATGGGTGACCTCATGTTTGAATCGGATGTCGCTCGAGCGAGTATAGTGTCGCTCAAGCGAAATACAACCCGAGACTTCACAATCTTAGCAGTTGGCGTCACTCGAACGATGTGAAATTCGCTTGAGCGATATTGCAAAAATGTGGTTGTATATGATAGCGGTTCCACTGGAACCGCTCTTAAAAGCGCACTTCTAATAGCGGTTAAACCTTAACCGCTATCTAAAATATATTTTAGATAGCGGTTAACGTGGAACCGCTATTATATCGTTTCAATTATGATCAATCATTTCAAAATATAATCGATCATAATGAAAACTTACATTAACTATTTTTTTGAATATTATGTTTTTAAATTTGCTATTAGAGATAACCTTTCGTAATTCAAAATGTTAAATACTTTTAAATATTAAAATTAACTTTATCAAAAATTAGGAAAAAAATTAATCCAAAAGAGTTCAAAAATGTATTATAATATTGTCAATTTTGAGTTTAATTATATTGTTCATTCTCAAAGTAGAAAAATATATTGTAATTATTTTAATTTAATAAAATATAATTTAAATTTTTAAGACTAAAATTAAAGGATTAAATAATAATAAATTTATTTCTTTAAATTGAGTATTTAGAAACTAAAATTATAGTTTCTCTGTTTTAAAAAATTGAAATAAATATTTAAAAATAAAAATCAAAACTAGTATTATCTTAAATTTTTTAACGATGTAATTAAATCTCTATTTTCTTAATTTTTTTTGTTTTAAACTTCTCAATTCTACATTTTTGTAAGTTCTATCATTATATTATCATCCTCATCTCCTCCCATGTTCTACTTTATCTTTACAATAGTTAATATTCTTAAATAATTTATATTTTTAATTATAATTTTTTAATATATATTTTAGAAATTAATCAATTATAATCTATTATTTTAAAAACTAATCAATTCTAATCAATTATTTAGAAAACTAATTGATTATAATTAATTATTTGAAAAAATTATCAAATATGATCGATCATTTGAAAATCTAATCGATCAGAATAAAAAAATGTGGTTGTATATGATAGCGGTTCACTTTGAACCGCTATTATATGTT